GTGGATTGGGATGAGAAGCTTGCTCTCATTGCCAGCCTGTACAACAACGCTGTGGACAACGTGACAGGGGTGAGTCCCAACAGTCAGCTGCTAACCTTCAAGCCCCGATTGCCTCTAGATTTCTTACTACCTGGGAACCAGCCCACTGCTGCACCTGGTACTTTGGAATTAGCTTATTGCTATGAGAGTCTTACGCAGCAAGCAGTGGACAGCATGCACAAAGCACAGGTGGCGATGATAGAGTCAGAAAATAAACACCGCCGCCCTTCTAAGTTCCAAGTTGGGGATAGAGTTTGGGTCAAGGCATCCGAACTTGGGCAAGAGCACAAATTTCCCGAAAGCTCATGGCACAGTACTTCGGACCATGGGAGGTTCTAGACAATGTCGGAGACGATCCTGATGAGCCTTCCTATGTGATACAGATCCCTGGTCACCTTCGCACCTACCCTGTCTTTCACGCCTCCAAACTTGCACCTTTCGAGGAAATTGATCAGTTTCCCTCTCGTCGATCTATGCTGGCCCCAACCATGGATGGCGAGGTCGACATCGACGAAATCGTTGATCGTAAGGAAATGTCGGTTCCAAGACCAACAGGCAGGGGCCGTCCTCCGAAGCCAAAGCTGCAGTATCGCGTTCGGTTCAGGCATCACACTGATTCAAAGGAGGACAGATGGTTTACAAGGGAGGAAGTGATGCAGACCGGTCCACAGGTTGCCACTCACTATGAGAAGTTGCTGCAGAAAGGAAGGCGCCAGATTCAATGAACTTCTCAGAGGATTATTGAAGTATGGAGGAGGGAATGCGAGGCTAAAGGCCTAGGTAAGCCCTACTGGGCCCTGTTTTCAGCAAGAACGGCCGCCCTAAGTGAAGGCAGGCCTGACAAGCGACGACAGGCCTATTTTGTGTTTCAACGCAGCTGGGGAAATTCAGGCAGTTGCGCCGCGTCAGTTGGTTGAATGCGCCCAGACCCTGCCTGCCAATGTTTCGGGTCTTCAGGCCCTTTTTTTTTTTTAACAGATGAATCGGAGGCAGGCCCTGGACCAGACACAGTGGATGAATTGAACACAGGCCGACTGGGTAGTTGGACACGGGTAACCTCCCTAGGCCCTGTGGAAGATTCCCTGGGACAGGGGCTCAGCCACTTGGGGCCTACGGGAAGCTTGCTGGGAGAGGCCCAGGCCAGCCAGGCAGCCCACAACTGGCAGCCTCATTCCATAAAGCAAAGGGCCTGGCTGCTGGCTGGACATTCGGGCACTCGCTGCTTATGCGCAAGCGCGGCTGCGCCAGTTGCTGAAGCGAGTGCCTACGCGCTCACGGGCGAGCGGGGAAGCAGGAGGCAGGCATAGCTGAGCTGGCCTGCGCATTGCTGGATGGGGTGCATGGTGGTCTTTGGGTGCATAAGGCATCTGTGTGGAGGGATCGAGGTTGTGAGTGAAGCGAGGGACATACCTGGTGCTTGATGTGAATGGCACTGGCCGAGATTTACTCATACTTCGGGGAGCTGTTGATGTCAGCAGCGGCATTGTAGATAGGCTAGATAGGATCTGCCATTTGTAGTCTGGGAGCTGAGTGCCAGATAGGGAGTCGACATTGATTCATTGATGATGCTGACGAGACTACTCCAACATTGTCATTCGTGAGCTTTGCTGTGCTCTTATATGGTCGAACTCGAGTTGCAATTCTGCTTTTGGTTCGAGGTCAAGACTATCTGTTTTGATGTGTATGATGCTGCTTGGTTTCTGGAATCCGCTATCGCTCATTTTCCTTGCACAAAGCAGCGAACTGCATTGTTAATGAAATCCCTCTCTCGCCACCATCAACAATGTACTCGAAGCTCTTCCTCCTATTGGCGCTCGGCGCCCAGACTACAATCGTACAGCTACTGACTAGCGTACTTAAATAACAGCACAAGCAGTTGACGTCAGCAGCAGCAACCAAAGTACATGTAGATGTCGATAATGCAGACCAGCACAAGCAGTTGACGTCAGCAGCAGCAACCAAAGTACATGTAGATGTCGATAATGCAGACCCCCGCCAGGACCAGGTACATGCTCTCACATCTTCTCCCTCAGTCGACCTCTCAATGCCCACCCTCGTCTTCACTCACAGCTTCACCTCTGCCGAAGATCACCACCACCTCCACTGGCTTCTGCTGTGCCCAGCGCCCGACTATGGCTGGCTTGGCGCTGAGGGCAGCACTCCCCTTCTGAAGCGCCCGCGTGTGCCCAGGCACTAGCACTAGCAGCATGAGCGCTCAAACGAGCAGCACTGCCGCCTTGCACTCAAGTGCCCGAATGTCTGCATGAGAGGCGAGCTCTTTCCTAAATGGAAAGTGCCTGCCTCCCTTGCTGCCTGGCCTGGGACACACATGTGCCCTGTAGCTGCAAGTTGGGCCAAAGTGTCTGCGCCCAGGCCCATTCAGACAACCGCCAGGGCCCACAGCAGTAAGGCGCGCCCAACCAACCACCCGCGTGCCCTGATGTGTTCCCTGCCTTGTGATAGGCCAAGACGCCTGCTTCCATGTTGAAGCAAGAAGGACCTGGAAGGCTCATGGAAGACTCTGATGCTCATGAGCAGGGTACATGTAACCAACTGGCGGGTGGTAACTGACTAGAGCCCACCAGTGCGTGCTTCACTTAGGGCGGGCACAAGGTCTATAGTAAGGGGAACACTTTTTTTTTTTTCAAATAACAAAACAGGTGCTTATGGGCCTGGCTCCATATCATTTCTGGGGAGCGTCGGTCGGGCTCCTATTCCCCCGGCAAGTCATATGAACAGAGTTACATCAATATACACACACACGCTCCCTTCTGTCTGGCTGAACGGTCCCCAAACAGCATTGATTGCTCCACAGATCTGGAGGATGGACTGTCAGATTGCCTTTCCCTGAAATTCCTCTCAAGCTCCTCTATAGGGGCCTGTCAGTATGCGAGTATTGCAAGAGAACCAGAGAACCTAGCTCAGTGAATTGACACCGAAGACACTCATATATCCCTGTAGTCCTGTTGTCCAGCCTGTAGAGAAGCTCTTGTTCTTTGGGGAGTCTCTGCATTGTGCCATTCTATCCATCTGATTGCACAGCGTGAATGTCCGCTATCTTCTCGTTGACTAGCCACACCCTCCTGAATTTGGATATTGTTCCTCGTTGCTTCTCCGGACTCTTCTGAATTTGGAGTTTGACCTTCTTCCATTGGCGCTGGATATCAGTTTCTATAAAGAGTCTCGTTGATGCCCAGACTTGCTGCGCCTGATTGCTGGAGTTGTCGATAGTTCTGTTATACCTATCCTTCCAGATGAGTGAGAGATGACCCAGAGAGTCACCGTTCTGATTATTCCAAACCAGATGCTTTCAGATATAGAGAATTGGGAAGCGATATTTGTCCATAGGAGTAGTTGGATCAGGTGCTTAGGTAGGGAAGAAGGAAAAGGATAGTCCCAGAGTGCTGAGGCTCTCGCCCATATGTAGTAGCAAACTTGCAGGATATAAGGCAATGAATTAGGTCCTCCTGTTCGTTCTCTGAGCACACTAGTGTTGCATACTGTAATGGTGCAGACCAGAACAAGAACCGACCTCTCTCACAAAGTACAAGATAGCGTAGCGGAAGACTTAGATACCAATGATCCGAACAATCAATATTGCAATGCAGCCCCGAACATACATCATCATCATCACTCCATGGTGTGAAGGGGCCTGGCGCTCACACAGGAAGAATGCGCCAGTCCCCAACCGTACACAGACGAAGAAGAGGGCGGTTAGACGAAGAAGAGGGGAAGATGGGAATGTCGTCAACACCAAGTCTTCGGCACAGGCCCAAATAGTCCCTCGTCCCAATGTCGAGTCTGGATCCAATGTCGTCAAGTCTCAAGTCACAACTCACTCCCTCTGTCGTAGTCCGCTGATACTGAGAAGTCAGGTAGTGAGAGGGTGAAGAAGAGATGGTGGACTTAGAAGAGGAAGAAGAAGAACTCTCTCTCTCTCTATCTATCTATCTATCTGTGTCCGGTACTAACCTGTGAAGTTGGCGCCTTGATGCAGGTACCTTGAAGATGAAGCTGGAGCTATGGCGCCACAGGTAAGTCTCCCTGGCCTCC